CACAGTTCTGCCCCGGCAGGAGCTGAGGTGGTGGGGATGAGATGGCAGGCAGGGGGTGAACCATGGAATTGTTAAGGTTGCAGAAGACCTTCAGGATCATCGAGTCCAACCATGACCACCACTAACCCAGGTGTCACATCCACCTGGTTTTTGAACACTTCCAGGGGTGGTGACTCCACCAGTGGCTCTGTGGTGACTCTATCTCCACAGAGATATCTACCCTGGGTTCCAGGCTGTTCCATGCTTTACAACCCTTCCCATGAATAATTTTTGTTAATATCCAACCTAATGCCACCCTGGTGCATCCCCAGAGGATGAGGCTGCCCCTCATGCCAGGAGCAAGAGGGAGGGGGGAAGGTGGGAGCAGGGAGGGGCCTGGCACAACAGGAGAGTGACAGAGCAGGAGCTGGCCTTGGACAAAAGGACCAATTAAAGCATCCTCCTGCAAACAAACATCCCCACAGCCCAACTTTTTCAAAGATGGCTCAGGAAAGAAAAGGGCCACGGGATCGGCGGGATCAGCCTAAGTCATGTACATCTATTTAACAAGAAAACTCATTGATAAGCAAACCACCTGATGCTTGCACAGCAGAAAAGAAAACACCTGGTTCTGCCTGTGGGTTGATAAGCCAATATCTTTAATCTTTTTTTTTTCTCTTGATGACTGAAGTACACACTCTGTGCGGCCCTATGCTCCAGCCACATTGGTAATAGTAACAAAGCTTTGATGTCCCCCTCATTCAACAGAATGTTGTTTAGTTCAAAGCGAAGAACAGAGGCAATTCTTTGCTTTTAAATTATTAGCTCCCTAAGTCTTCTGTAATGATATAGTTTGACTGAAGTGTGCAGTTTATTAACTACATAAAGACGATATTATTAGAGCGGAGAAAGGCAGCCGAAAGTTTTGCCTTTCAGCTCAGCAGCAGGGGTTTTTGATACTTTGATCTCAATCAATGCTAAATGTCTTTGTGAGATAGAGGGAGCAGCAGAAATTACCTTTGGCACCATGACTACATCAATTATTTAGTTCTTTTTCTTATAAATTAAAGTGTTCTTCAACTTTTACCCCAATTTTTTCTTCCTCTTCCTCCTCTTCTTTTTTTTTTTCTTTTCCCTTCAGTTATTGCAGGGTTGAAAAAGGCTGACTGGGAGAAGTCTGGCTGTGAGTGTTAATAAAAATTCCACTGACCTTTCCCCGTCCTGGTCTGGGAGGGTCTTCTCTGTGTGAGGAGGTGGATTAATGGGAACAACAGAAGAAGGGGGGCTCAGGGTAATGTACTGTTTAATCAAATGACTGTGTAGGTTCTTATTCCAAATTTGTCTATATTTAGCCTAATTTCCTTTTTTTTTTCTTTTTCGCCTTGGTCTTTTCCAGTATTGCTATGGAAAAACGGGACACCTGACAAGAAAGGTGGAGGGAGACTATTTACAAGAGCAGGTGGTAACAGGACAAAGGGGAATGGCTTCCCACTGCCAGAGGGCAGGGTTAGATGGGATATTTGGAAAATGTCCCTCCCTGGGAGGGTGGGGAGTCTCTGGCACAGGTTTTCCAGAGAAGCTGTGGCTGTCTCATCTTGGAAGTGCCCAAGGCCAGGTTGAAGCACCCTGGGATAGTGGAAGGTGTCCCTGTGGGACTAGATGGGCTTTAAGGTCCCTTCCACCCCAAACCATTCATGATTCCAGGACTCCTGAGGCTGAAAGCAGAGCTTGCAGAGAGCCAGACCTCAGCCCCTGGGGCTGCAGCAGCTGCCTGAACTCTGATGCTGGATGCAGAAACTCTCATTAAAGCCACTGGTGTCAGGTGATCCCACCCAGAGCTGTCACCAAACCCTACCCACACAGAACTCTTGTCCAGCCTGGAGCTCATCCCCTAAAGCCAAAAATAAACCATTCCCACAGCTGATTCATCCCATCCCAAGAGGGGTGACAGACTCCTTCCCTGGGACAGAGGGAATCCAGCATGATGGGACTAGAGGTGAGAGAGGATAACATAGCTCAGTGCTTCCCTTGGATAACAAATGAGTGGCTGTTTCCGTGGGATTTGTGTTCTTTTGGTACTTCAGGGCAGAGGCTGGAGCAGAGCCAAGGGAGGAAGGTATCCCTGCAATCTTGGGGACAGCAGCTGGTGGCTGGGCTCAGTGCTGTGGTGCACCAGAATGTGTTAGAAACCACTGGAACCAGAACCTTGGCTGGGAACATGAGCAGCAGGACCACAGAGGTGCTGAGGAGATGCCTTTAAAGAAAGACTTAAAACACTGACCTCTGGCTAGAGAAATTCTTTGTGAGCAAGAAATAAAAGAGGTCTTTGCAGAGGTGTTGAGGCATGAACTATGGGAACTTCAACATATTTATGTATAGAATGTGTTGGAGAACAACATAATTCTGTTTTCATGGTGATCAAAGTTTTGCAAGAAGGAGGACTTGAGACAGTGTGCTGAGCTGCTATGGCAACATGAATTTTAAAAAATAAACTGACTTGCAAGAGCTTATCTTTTCCTCTTTAGCGTGGTGCAGAACAGATCTGGGAACCTCTGCCTGAAAGAGATCCTGTGAGGTGCTCAGCTCTGCTTCTGGGCCAGGTGTATTGCAAAATGCATAAAACATATCCCTTGTGGCAAGGGGAAAATTATTCCATGCCTGGCTTTGCACCCCAAAGAGCCAAGTCATGGTGATTCTGTCACTGTGTGTTTATCACAGCTCAGATATTCAGATGTTGGGGTGGATGCAGCATGAAGCACTTGGGCTGTGCTGGCATCCTATTCTGGGAGCGGGGTGGGCTGCCAGGCGCTGCTCAGGGGTGAATTCCACCCACGGCAGGCGTTTCCAAGAGCACCATGACGTGGGCTCGGCTTACAGCTCGGCTTTCAAGCCACCCGCACAAAATGTAGAGGCAGCGGTGTCAGGAACCCTCCCTGACAGCTCCTTTCAGGAGGGGATGCTGTGAGGAGCTGTCACGCTCTGAGTCAGCTGTTCTTCCAGGGCTGGCATTCCAGGCAGGAAGAGCCTGCTTGAGGAACCATCCCAACCACGCCGCCTGCCAAAACCACACTGGGAATCCCATGGGAACCAGCCCTCTCCCGAGCCAGCTGGTACTTCCTGCTCCCGAGGCCTGATCCTGCTGGATGCTGAGCATTCTTTGTTCCATTTTTAAATTAATGAGGTTCGAGCAATGCACGGTCCCAGAGCCCAGGGAAGAAACAGCCCCTCGGTGTTTTCAGCACTTTGGCCGTGTGGCCCAGCTGGAGAGGAGAGGGAAATGTCAGGCTTGAAGGGAGATATGAGAGATGCCTGGAAAACAGATCTGTAACCTGGAGATTTTAGCCAGGTTCTCTGAGCTGGCCATGCTCCCACACACAGCTCTCCTCCCCAGCACAGGCTGTGACTCCCAAAACTGGCAGCCCCATCTCTCCGGAGAAGGATGAGGATCACCAGCGTGGGACTCGCTCCCATCCTATCCCAACAGTGTCCCCTTGAGGCTGGTGGCTGAGGCAGCCTGGGAAGAACTCTCATGGAGGTGCAGGGGAACCCCAGAAGCTGCTCTCATTTTCCAGGCTGGTCCAAACAACAAATCCCAGCAGCTGTGGATCAGCCTGAGTGAAAGATGCTGGAGGAGCCCACCCCACAGCGGGTGTGGGACCTCCACACGTGGGAGTGGAGCACTTGGAGAACCACTCAGATAAGAATCTCCTTCCAGCTTCATTCTGTGGATAACCAAAGCTGGACCACTGCAGCTCATCCAGCAGCATCTGGGGCATGGGAGCTCCTCCAGCACCGTGGAGACAGAGTGGGAGGGTCTGTGCAGCCATGGGAGGCTGGAGAGAGGAGCCTCTGCAGGGGACACGAGGCTGCCTCACCGCTGCTGCTGCTGCTGGAATCTCCTTTCTTCTGGCAGCCAAGCAGCAGGGAGTTTTCTGAGAAACTGCCCACAGGGAGCGATCACTTTTTCCAGTCATTAACCTTACACATCCCTCACATTACAGGAATACCTTGGATGTCTAAGTTGCTGCAGCGAGCTAATTCCTCCAGGTGACTCCAGGCAGCGATAAGTGGGCTCCTGCACAGCGAGGGGGTTTGAAGTGCCAGAGCTGAAAGCGCTCCCAACTCCGGCACGCCAGGCCTCCAGCAGGGGACACAGCCTCAGATGTCACAGCACGGTGGCAGGAGGGGCCCGGGGCCTCTGGAGCTGTCATTCCCAACCTGCATTTCCAACCGGGGGAGCCAAGGCAAAGGGAGGGGGACCAGGCAAAGGCTTGAGATGCCCTGTGCCCCCACGGAAAAGGGCTCTGGTTGAAGGATATTGGGGAAAAAGATATTTGGAAGATACTGGGGAATAAAAATCAGTGCCCTAAAGGGATACATGTTGGGAACTACCAGTGCTGGCCTCTGGGATAGGTGTGTACCTGGCTGCACTGGGTGTCCCAGCCCTGGCAGAGCAGCAGATTTGCATCTGAACTCCTTCCTCTGGTGTGGAAGATGAACACAAGGATTATTCAAAGGCAAGGAGGTGCCCAAGAAAAGCCCGAAATCAGTGAGAGAAGTATTTACAGTAGGATGGCACTTATCATATGTACATAATATTAAATATAATATTCTTTTCTCTGACAAATCACAATATCTTCCTGTTGTGTTTCCTGGATTACACATCACCAACATCCTGCCAGGAGTGGCTGAGTAACAATACTCACTCAAAAAAATTGCAGAAGACACCAGATTTGTCTCTCATCAAGAATAGATGTCAGTGGCAGCAGAGCAGGACCAGGTCCCTCTGACAGAGCAAAGCCACCAAGAGCCAATGTGTGTTTGTACAAGAGGAGCACCATGGGCAGTGAGGGCCAGCAGCCTGGGAAAGACTCTTTGGAGACAGAAGCAGCTTTCTGATTTTCCCAAACTGCTCTGCAATGGGAAGTGTCAGCCCAGACCTGGGGCAAACAGGGAGCACTGAGTGTGTGTGAGGACAGATTTAAATCCCACAGCAGGACTGAGCATGTGGAACCACATCAGCCACACAGGAAAAACTCCATTTATAATCAGAAAGTACAAAACAGCAACATCAGAAGTCACAGGTCATGGCCAAGGTACAGAACAGGGACCTACAGCACACACACACTGAGGAAATTCATCCAGGGAATAAAACAACCACCTTCAAACACTGACACAAGGAAGGCAACAATCCAACACTCAATATCAGCACAGCCTGTGGCAACACATCAATCCCAGCTTGGAGGGGCCCAAAACACCAACAGGGACTTGGCTTGGATCTCCCCAGGTGTTCACAGGTCGAGCCATGGTTTCAAACCCATGCACTGGGAAGCTGGAGCTAATGCAGGAGGGCTCTACACTCCCTGATGCCTCTGGGATCATGTTTGGTTTGGATGAAGGAATGATGCTTTGCCACTCAGCATCTCATGAAGGGCACTCTATTTTCCTCAACCTCTTAATCAGCACGCTTTAAAATTTTTTAAATTGTAATTAATAGGAGGTGGGCCCAGGATGGGGACACAAACACACCCCAGTTTTGGCACTGAAGCCTGAGTCCTGCTCTGCCAGCCCCCTGCCAGCCCTGCTCCAGCTGTGCTGTGTTCAGTGTGCTGACACCTCATGGCCAAGGCAGAAACTCCGATAAGACACTGCTTCCCAGGACATCACCCGCACGTCCTCCATCTGCTCCAAGGCATGAAACCAGGCTCGTTTATCGACGAGTTTGTCATGAGCAGAACAGAACACACCAAAGACAGGAAAGAAAACCAGTCCAGAAAGGCTTGGAGCTCCTGGATCACAAACAGCTGGGTACACCCGGGGCTGTTATCCGGAGCTGTGGTGGTCTGGGTGTCCCTGCTGCTGGAGGATGGCTCCAACACACTTCTCCACCATGTGCTGAGCCATGCACGGCAAACACTGCAGTCTCAGGCCTGGCAGGAGCGTCTGTGTCAGGGTTACCCGGCTCTCCCCTGCTCCGTGGGGGTCTCCCAGGGGCAGATCAGTTCCTTTGCAGAGTCCTTCCGAGCTCGGTGCTGCCTGTCCTCTCCCTGCCCGGAGCCCCCGGGGCAGGCTGGGCTCTCCAGAGGCACGGCTGTTCTGACTTGGAAGAAGCTGTGTTGGGAAACACAAACTCATCACACACACGGCGCTTTTTGATGTGCTCCGAGGCAGCGAGTGAGCTCGGCTTTGAGATTTCCACCATTCCAGCCCCAAATCCCACAGCAAAACTCCCAGGCACGAGCCCACGGAGAGGGAGGACAAAGGGAATGTGTGCTGCCGCTCCTTTGAAGCTGCAATGCCGTGTGACAGAGCTCCGGAGTGCGGAGCCAGGTAGAGCAGGAGCCCTCAGGTTTGTGCTTTGGAATTTATAATGTGGACTCATCCACTTGGCCAGCAGCAGAGGTGGGTTAACCGGGATCAGGGACATGCTGCTCCTGATGAGGGACATGGCCAGGGTTTGGTTCCTGCAGGGGCAGCCTTGCCAGGCAAAAATTCCCCAAAAATTCCCCCAAAACTTCCCCTGGAACGACAAACACTTAGCGACTCTCGCTCAAGATTTCCCCTCCCTTGTCAGTTCTGATTCTCGTCTCACTTGAAATCACTAAACCAAACCTGAGTCAGTGCTCAAGAACACTGAGGTTCTCCAAATTCAGGGATTAAAAGTAAAACCTGGGGTTTTGCACCCTGAACAGGAGGTGTGACAGTAGCAGAGGCACTGCCAGCACGGGCTCCTGGCCTGCTCCCATCGGAAAATGCAGGAGTGGAGACAGGGAAGAGCCTGGGGTTTGGGGCAAGTGTGGCAAAGGTGACTGCCACACAGGTTCTCAGGGTCCTCTCCCTCTGGCTAATCCCAAACCGAACCGGCCCTTGAGCTGAGCCCTCCCCAGGTGCGTGTCCGTCTGTCCGTGCGCTGCTCACCTGCTGACCGTCCTGCTGTCCGGCCGCAGCCGCCGCTCCCGCCCGCCCAGCGGCTGCACCTTGCCGTGGGGCACGGCCGGGCACCGGGCCGCCAGCGTGGCCAGGCTGCCCGAGCTCCGGCAGCCCCTCCGCAGCAAGCGGGCCCAGGCCCGGGCGGCCAGGCGGGATCTGCGGCCGCCGGACGGGAAGGGGCCGGGGCCGGCCGGCCGCGGGTCCGGCTGGGTGCCCGCCCTGCTGCCCAGGGCCCGGCTGATGGCTGAGGGGCAGGCGGGGCCCTGGGGCAGGGCTGGGGGCTCGGGGGACACGGCAGGCACGGCCTGAGGGGCGGCTGGTGGCGATGCCGGGGTGCCGGGGCCAGCGTGGGCAGCCGGGCCGGGGGAGCAGGAGGCGAGGTGGCCTGGCTGTGGGGAGGAAAAGGAGAGGCTCGGTCAGGTCTGGAGGTGACACCCAGGGCTCCCCAGGCTTCTTCGTGAGGAGAATCCCTCTTTTTTGGTGCTGCCAGGAGAGAAGGGCTTGGCTGGGAGGCAGCTCTGGCCACCCCAGCCATGCCTGTGCCGGTGTCCCCCTGTCCTGCAGCTCTGTCCCCTCCCACTGCCAGAGCGCTGCGGTGTCACAACTTGCCTGCGGGGTCACTGCTGCCACAGCCCCAGTGGGTGCTGACAGATGCAGCCCCACACCCGACGGGATGCTGGAGGAGACACCAGCCTGTGTCATTCCTCAGCACGATTACTGCAGGCACGGAGGAGGCTGTCATCCCGGGAATGTGATCTTGGTTATGAACAGCACAACCATGTCACACCCACGGCACCACTGGGGTGACAGACCCCGAGCCCCAGCCCTGGTGGCTCCTAGTACCAGTGACATGTCATGCTGGAACCCCAGTGTCCCTGGCTGGGGCTGGGGAGGCTCCAGCACTGCTCAGTCAGCCCTCAGGACAAGCCCAAGCACAGACTGGACCGACAAGGACAGCACATGCTGCATGCCAGGACCCCTCCCATTTCTCAAGGACTTAGTCCCAGCAAAATGAAATGCAGCTCAAGTGTCCAAGGAGAGGAGCTGAGAGCAGAGGCACACACAGGACATGCACACGCATGCAGAGATGGCACAGAGAAGGATGAACACACTGAGACATGACAAAAAAGGATCTTGGCTCTTTTTCTGTTTTCTACATTTATTTTTATTAGACAGATGAATGCATGGAAGACATGGCCAAAAAAATTAAACAACACATGGAAACAAACAATTTCTCGGCTGGCACAAAGTGAAGTTCAGCTTGTACCAGGCAACTTTCCTCTTCCAGGGCTGAGCAGCAGAGGATGAGGAGCAGAAGGCTGTGAGCTCCATCAGCCTGTGGCAGGGCAAAAACAGCTCCTGCCTGGGTGTGAAGGATGGCTGCTTGTTCCACAAGCAAAAAACTGGTGTTCCACAAGCACTGAGTGGTGTTCCACACACAGTAACTGGTGTTCCTCACAGTAACTGGTGTTTCACAAGCACTGAGTGGTGTTCCACACACAGTAACTGGTGTTCCTCACAGTAACTGGTGTTTCACATGCACTGAGTGGTGTTCCACAAGCACTGACTGGGGTTCCTCACAGTAACTGGTGTTTCACATGCACTGACTGGTGTTCCTCAAAGTAACTGGGGTGTTCCACACAGTAACTGGTGTTTCACATGCACTGACTGGTGTTCCTCACAGTAACTGGTGTTCCACAAGCACTGACTGGTGTTCCTCACAGTAACTGGTGTTCCACAAGCACTGACTGGTGTTTCACATGCACTGACTGGTGTTCCTCACAGTAACTGGTGTTCCACAAGCACTGACTGGTGTTTCACATGCACTGAGTGGTGTTCCTCACAGTAACTGGTGTTCCTCACAGTAACTGGTGTTCCACAAGCACTGACTGGTGTTCCTCACAGTAACTGGTGTTCCACAAGCACAGCGACTCCCGAGCATGCAACAGAACCCATGGCAGGGGAGCAGTGATGCCAAGCAGAGATGATAAAAAATCAGAGAAAGGAATGGATACAGAGAACATAACAAGCAAAGCAGCAGACAAAATAGAAGTAGAATCAGAGGGACTGACGGGAACACACAGATTTGTTATTTATTATTTATACCCTGACTTGATCTTCCACATGTTACTACATACTTGCAATCCCAACATGCTCAGTGCTCCATGTTACACAAACTCTGCAGAGACTGCAGAGTTCATCACAGCCCAGTGGCTTTGGGCCAGCCCTGCTAGGTTCTGGAGTGTCTGCCAGTGCTCTGATGTCCAAGCAGACTGAGGGCACCAGATGTAACAAAGCCTTGGGGTTTAAATTTTAAATAAGGCAGCCTGAGCCTGCTCCCTTGTCCAGCAGTGCAGAATGTGCCTTTGCTTCCAGCAGGAGTGAGAACAGACTCAGCACAGACATCAGAGGGAAGGTCTGGGGTGACTCAGTTTGAATTCCTCTGAGGAGGTTTATCACTGCTGGGGTAAGGAAGGGCAGGACAACCTCCCTGGCTCAGCCACAAGTGCAGGAGTGACACCAGATCAGTGTCCAGCCCTGATCCTGCCATGGGGAGGGCCAGAGTCACTGCTGGAGCTGTTGGGGACACAGTGACATCATGACTGTCCCCTGTTCATAGGGAGTTGCCCTGCAAGGACCCCAGGGCTCCAGGGGCCTGCATGCACCCCACTATCCCAGGGCTCCCACTCCCTGTCAGCTCTCTCCAGAAGATGCCCCATCCCTGGGGGTGTCCAAGGCCAGGCTGGATGTGGCTCTGAGTACCCTGGGGTAGTGGAAGGTGTCCCTGCCCATGGCAGAGGGTGGAATGAGACAAGCTTTAAGATCCCTTACAATCCAAACCATTCTGGGGTTCCATGATCTCCCATTTTCTGTAAAATCCTACCAGTATTAAAAAGATATGAACAATGTGAACTGCAGAGAGGCAGTTTCCCAGACCTCAGTGCTTCCACCCACTTCCTTTGCTTCCCCAAAATTTTAACGAACAAGGAAGCTTTTCTGCCCCTTCAGTTCCCTTTACTGGCCTTTGCAGGAATCCTCACACTTCTGGTAACCATTGGCCTGCTCCAGGCATGCTGGGCTTCTCCAGCAAGGCCCAGAATCTACCTGAGCTCTTTAGCACTAATGTGGTATTTCAGCTTGCCTTATTCTACAGAGCAAAAGAGACAGAGCAAATGAAAAAGAAAACACTACTTAAAGTTGCAATCTGCTCTTAACACCTCTACCCTGTTCTCCCTTGCCTCTGGGCCACAAGCCAATGACAACTGCAGCTACCTCCTGTTGGATTTTTAACAATAGAAAATAGAAGAGCAGGAAAAAGACAAGACAAGAGGTGGGAAGGATTGGATAAAATCCTCTTGGCCTCGTGCAGACTCTGGCAAGGGGCAGCTCTCTGCACCTGCACACCCAGCTCACAGCACAGGAGTCACAGGGAGAGCAGAGCAGAGCTTCCTGCTGATCATCTCCAGCGTGCCAGGGGATGTGGGAGCGTCATTCAAATTCAGAAGGTCAGCTAAACCTTCAGAAATGCTCCTGCTACTGCTCCCACAAACAGTTCTTCTGCCTGTGGTGCTGGCTGGAGGTGCAGGACTCTTGGAGTGGGGGTGTGCTCCTCTCAGGGGGTACCAGATGCAGCGCTTGGGAGGGTGCAGAGCCCCCCGAGGGGATGGAGGCCAGCAGGGACACTCTGGGCTGGGCGACCTCGCCCTGCTCCCTGCGGGCTCATCCCCCTCGGTGCCAAGGCAGGCTGGTCTGAACCCGCAGCACTGGGGCACAGCTCTACCCTGCCTTGTGCCACCCCACTCCTGGAGCAGCAGGGACAGGCAGCCGGGCTCTGCAGGCTGTGTGGGGGCAGAAACCATCTCCCCCCCGAGTGTGCGGGGTGCTGCACCCCGAGCCTGGCACAGCAGCAGCCCGGCACTGCCTGGGAAGGGACATCTGCTCTCCAGAAGCCATGGCAACGTGCGGGAAGCCGGCGGAGAGCAGAGCCGGCCTGGGAAACCTAAAGCAGCACTGACACCTTCAGGAAGGGGAGACGAAGCTCAACACCAGCCTCGCCTTGTCTTTTCCCTGCGGGGCTCAGAGCCTACTTGGGAGGAGCTTCCTTCTGGAGCTGGTTCCTGCGATCCAGCTTGCTCATGACCTGCGTGATGTCCACGGTGTTGGCGGCTTCCCTGGCTTTGGCCTCTTCCTCCTGCTGCCTCAGGATGATGGGGCTGGGGCTGGAGCGGAGGTGGCGGCGTCCAAACAAACCCGTGCTGGGCAGAGAGAGGGGAAGGAGAGGGTTACTGAGGAGAAGGGCACCAAAACCTCCCCCCTGGCAAGCAAAGTGACCCAGGAGGACAAGCTCGGACTCAGAGATGGCCAAAGGAGCTTTGAACAGCACTGGGTGGGTCAGTGTCACACGCAAGCTACAGGACTGCTAATAGTGTCAAAGTCCTGCTCCTGAGGGACTCCAGGGCACCCACATCACTGCTTTGTTGTGTTTGCACTAACTCACACTCAGGGTGAAGCCAAACAGCTCCCATCCGTGGAGTTTTCTCCAGGGCCCTTGGGAAGAACAAGGCAAGGACCAATGTGGGTGTTCCTGGTGTCTGTGATGCCCCCAAAAACATCTACTACCTGCCTCAGCAATACCCAGCAGTGGGAACAGGTGCTAACCCACCTCTGGATGAGGCACCAGCTCCAGGTTAATGGGATGCTGAGGTTTGGGAGGTCCAGAACAAGCACTGACAAACACGAAGGCAGGACCACCAGGATCAGACAGCATCTGCTAGTGACCTCGGGATGTGTGGCTCAGGGAACAACTGACCTAACCCCAGGCCAGGCAGCAGCAGGGCTTTTTCCATTGACTTAAAACAGGCTTTAGATGAAACAACAGTGTGAAAGTCCACAATTCCTCTTTCTTGCCTGCTAGGTTGATGAGTGGAACAGAGGAAGAAACACCACACAGTCTGGCACTGCACGCTCAGCTTTAGGAGCAGCTGCAGCTCAAATGCACTGAATTTGCTGTATAACCTTCATCTTGCTGGGAAAAAGCCATTTCCAATGCCATCCACCTCGTGCCAGCTGTCACTCACAAGGTGCTGCTTGTTCCCAAATGCCTGTCACCTTCCCTGACACCAGGGGTGAACTTTGTCCAGGCATGAGCAGATCCCACGGGTTATCCCAAACCTTGGGTCTGTCTCTGCTCTGGCAGCCAATATTTCATGGGCAGGAGCCTTCCCATGCCCAGGACACCAGTGCTGTCTCCTTCCAGGAAAGGAGCCATGAATTAATTCAACAATCCCAGCCCTTGTCAGCAGACCCAGCAGAGAAGGCAGCTGAGCAATCAGCAGCTCCACTCCTGTTCACAAACCTTTTCCAAAGGGCTCATGAATAAACAGCACCATCAGTCTCAAAGCAAAGCATCTTCTCAGTGCAAAATTTTATTTAATTAAGAGAACAGCTAAATCATAGTAATTTTGCTGCAACTTGGGCTTTTTCTACCCTTGCTACAACACGAAAAACAAACCCCACAATTACAGCCAGTTTCACTTGCCTTTTTTTGACACCCTCTTGTGGCACAACAGCCTTGGCCAGCATTTCCTTGTATATTGGAGACTTTAAATAGCGGCCATAGGAGTCCTACTAGGAGAAAAAAGAGAAACTGGTAGTTATGGGCTGCAAACACCCTTATTAAAATCACCACCAAATACAGCTGCTCAGGAGCCAGGGAGGCTGGGAACTGGATAATCTCCCCCAGCAGCTCAAGGGACTTTGCATCTTTCAGGCAAATGTAGCTATTTAAACCAATATCCTTTCATCTCGCTGTAAAATTCCCAGGATTTTCCATCTCACAATAAAGCTTCACAGGTAAGACCCAGATCAAAAGATCTGAATGAAGCTTAGCCTGGGCCAGCAGGGTCTCAGAGTCACTGCAAGGTGAGGAGTTTGTATTCCAGGAGGCGAACTTTTCATCAGCGGGTGAAAATCAGCCCAGTTCTGCTGCTTTCAGTGCATGAGCTGGTGCCCAAGCTGGAACTGAAACACAGCCACCTGACCCCCACCATCTTGGGGACAGGCTGAGAGGGAAGGAGCAGCAGCAAAATACAAATGCCTGAAGCAGCACTCTCTTCACTCAGCAAATTTGAGGGATTTTCAAACAAAGGCCCCTTGAAAGGGACAGCTGATAGCACACAAAGGCACTGGAAGGCCCAGAGGGCTGGAATCCCCCTCAGGCTCTGGCAACAAATAACAAACCTTTTTCATCAGCATGTAAATGTGGGTCTGAGCAGCATCTAGAACATAACGATGAGGGTGCTCCAGGCCTTTGACTGTGATGCCCATTGTTTTGCCATCGATGTTAATCCAGCGCCTTGCTCCTGGAGCCAGGAAGAGCCTGCCAAGAGGAGGAATCAACAGTGCCATTAGCAGCTGGAGAATTCACAGATTCCTGTCTATGCATGAAAGGAAAAGTCCCTTCAGCTTCCTGCTGCAATTTGCTGTCCTGGTCTTGGGCAAGCAATGTTCTCTTCATCAGAGACGTGCACTCACTTCCTCTTGCACGTAATGTAAGCCAAATTTTAGCTCAATGGAAGCAAAAAGCCTCTCCCCACTTTGCTTGTGGCAGCCTCAAGAAGTTTGCTATTCCACACTGATATTTAAATTATATTCTAAGACTGAAATGTAATAGAGAACAGAGAGGAAAAGTAAATATATATATATATATATATATATATATATATATATAAAACACTTCTACTTTCATCTCCAAAAGCTCCTTTCCTGTGTGGGGACAAAAGACAGCCACGTCTGATAACAGCCTCCACGTAAAAATCTTAGGAATAAATCATTTGGAGAATGAGAACCTGTGGAGCTGATGGGACTCATGCACAAAGAGTGAAAGAGTGGAAAATTTTCACACTCACTTGTAGATTTCTTCTGCTTTTTCTTTGACCTTGGATTGGTCTCCATACTTGAGATCCTCACAGGCCTCCCAGAAACCCAGATTTTCTCCTGCATGACAAGGACACAGTTGGCAGAGAGTGAGATTGAGGAAAACACAATCCCATTTATTAACTCCTGGATTTGCCTGGCACACTTTGCTGGCCCCAAACCAGTCTCTCAATTGACCGAAGTCACTCTCCAGTGACTGCAAGAGGAAAACAGCTTTCCCCCTTTCTCTGCTCACTGACACCTCTACGAACTTGTGAGCTCGGCCAGTTCCAGCTTTTCTGGGAGCAGTCAGAAAATCATGGAATGCTCTGAGGTGGAATGAACCTGAAAGTCCATCTCAGTCCCATGAGCAGGCACACCTTCCACTGTCCCAGGCTGCTCCAAGCCCTCTCTGACCTGACCTTGGACACCTCCAGGGATCCAGGGGCAGCTCCTCTGTGCCAGGTCCTCCCCACCCTCACAGGGAAGAATTCCTTCCTAAACTGCAACCCAAACCCTCTGAGGCAATCCCCGCGGTGGGGACAGGCCGGGCTGTACCGTGTGTCCCGTGCCACTAGATGGTACCGCCTGCCCTGGCTGCACGGCCTGCAGCAGCCGTGTGCCATGTCACCTCAGCCTGGGGACAAGGGCACAGGGACACTGCCACCCACCGCTGAACTCCTTCTTCAGGAAGATCTGGAAGTTCTGGCGGCCTTTGGGGTCCCGGATCAGCTCGCTGAAGTTGAAGGCCCATCGCTCCACGCGCATCCTGGTGGGCACCTCCACCCTGCAGGGAGAGCACAAACAGCACCGCTGCTTTCGCTAATTAGCAGATTAATTAAAACCAAAATGCCCTTTGCTGCAGTGCCAAGGGACTTCTCAGCATTCTCTTGTTTTCCAGAGTGGTGTAATGAGCTCCTGAAGTCAACCCACTAAGTAAGTTGTAATTAAACAACTCGGGCCGCAGCGGGATGAGGATTTAACTGGGATTTCTGCAGCTCACAGTGACAGCCCAGCCCTGCCCTGAGGTTTGACTCAGCCCCATCCTGCAGGAGGCACTGCCCAGAGCTTTGCTTCTCATAAAGGCACTCAGTGCAGGCATCCCCTGGGGATGTCTAATGGGATACAATGAGCCCAGGATTGCTGCTCTCAGAACCATTGAGATGTTGGATGCTCCAAGCCCTGAGATGCCACTGTGTAATTAGCAAACCCTATCCAAAGGGAAAACCCTCAGAGAAGGGATGGACCACCAGTGTGTGCCTCCAACCCAAAGCCTCTCCTAAGGAAGCAGCCTGAGGGGTGAGCAAAGGGCCAGGGGAGCAGCTGGACCCTGAGCTGGTCCTGTTCCATTGCTGTGCTGGCTAGGGTGGGCTTCACTCATCCCAGGGCAGATAAGACCCACCCAGCAGGGGCTGACTGTACACTCCCATCATCAGCTCAGGAATTTCTGTGATGTTAAGGAAGTCTTCACTTGAAGAAGGCAGTGCTGAAAGTTCAGCATGGAGTATTCCCAATTCCAAAATGAGTTTGAAAGGGAATGCTTCTCTGCTCAGGAGCAGAGATCAGACAGCACAACAAAAATCAGTGGTTCCCTTTCCTGATTTCTATCAGTATAAAGGTCACTGTAAACCACAGGTTGGCAAAACAGAAATACATACAGCTTTGCATTGAGATCCCAAAAGTCAGGGTCATCTGATATCCAAGGGTTGCTGGGGAGACATCCAGACAGGATGGGATCATTGGAGAGGAACTGCTCAGAGTACTTCACAACCCTACAACAAATCCAAAATCAAAATATGAATTTGGAAGGCAGAATTACAGCCAGCCCCATTATAGCCAAGTAACAGATTACAGATCTCCTCAGAGGTGCAGGACTCTCAGCACAGGGATCTGGAAGGTGCCTTCCTAGAAAAATCAATTCATTAGCTCAGTTAATCTTTCCCATTTCCCAGCAGAAGTCTCCTGGTTGTCTTTCAAAGCAGTGAGTTTGTAAATTCAAATACAAGGTACAAGACTCTCTTCCATCATCTCCTTCTGCCTTTTCATTATAAGGAAGAGAGATTCAGGACTCTAAGGAGAGTTTCTGTCTCCTTCTGTTCTCAGCTGGCCAGGGCCTGATCTTGCACTGCTCTGGGGGGAAAGTGTCAGGAAAAGGAACTCAGGGGTTGTGCTCACCCACGTGGGCTCTCTGCAGCCTTCCCATGGGCCCTGGGAGAACTCAGGGAACTCTGGGAAAGTGAGGGAATGCTGAGGGCTCATCCCAGCTTCTCCTTTCCCCCATCACCTACCACAGGGCTCATTCCTCTGCGAGTGGCTCTGAGGGCTTGGCACAAAGCAGAGCTGTCTCTCTCCCATCAGGAACCAGACAAACACTTCTCCTACCTTCTAACTTGGCCAGACTTCTAATTACAACTGATTTCATTAATGTCCTGGAATTTTAGCTCCTGCCTCCCTTTTTCATTCTTGAAAGAAAAAAAAAAAATCCTCTGGTTTCTGCATTTAAAATTCCTTCCAGGCCAAAGTGCTTTCATGTGCTCAGAGCTGGGAGTGCAGTGTCCAGGAGCCTGTTGCTAACAGGCCCCTTGGCACACATCCTGCACTTATACAATGCTCCTGCACAGAGCAAACCACAGGGCTGGCACACAGCTGCTCCATCCCACCTTCCCCTGGGAATGCCAAGGCATCCAGCACCTGCATCAGGCACTCCAACCCATGACCAAGCAAATCTAAACCTGTCAGCTCAGGTAGCACTGCTGTGTGGTCTTGAAGAGCTTTGCAGCTTCTCCCAAATCACTGCAATGCTCTGAAGCATGCACACTGCCCAGTTGCTGTTCAAATCCTCATTAATAGTAATTTGATTTGGACCCAACCCTGTAGCTGACACTGTGGAGTTCCAAAGTTCCTGAGATTTTTGATCTAGGTGATAAGCATCATCCCACCAGAGCTAATGAGAGAAAAGCCCTGTTGCCAAACAGTGAAACACCACTGAATTCCTGGAAAGCAGCCAGGTGTTCCCAGCTCCAGCTCACAGTTTGGAGAATTGAGGCAGCAGAATTTTAACTGACCTGGAAGTCAGTGACAGAACAAACAGAGTTGCAGGTGCCCTGCAAGTTGTGGCTCTCAGAAGACCCTCTTCCACCCATTCCTCTCATCCAAGACTGTCTTCTCCAGGGAACTGGCCTGAGCACCTTGTTTATGTCAGATGTGACAGGAATCCCTGGTGGCAATGGCAGTGCAAACCAGGCAGGTGCTCTGGGCTGCACCTCGAGGAGCCTGGTCAGCACGGGAGGTTCCAGGTAGGAATGCCTCTGGCAAACACACCAATGCCTAATGCCAGGGCTGGAGGCTTCATCAAGAATGTGATCAGAAAACACTCCCACTGGGAAGGGGAATTGCTAATTAACTGCCTGGATGTTCATGGGGAGGCTGTTCCCCTCTGCAGTATAGAATAACCAGTATTGCACAACCAGAGGTGAGCACCACCATGGGGACACTCCTGGGGGTGAATCCAGCCCAGGGTGGGGACCAGCGACAGGAGGGTCAGTCTGTCCTGCTGGTTGCTCCTCCTGAAGGACAGACACACTGCTGGATCCTCCCCTGGCTGCAGGGCTGTGCCCAGGCATCACAGCTGACCAAAGCAGTGTCAGCATCTCCTGACTTCAGTGGGATTCTCAGCCCAGGGGCTGGTGCTGCCCTGCAGCAAAGCTCCCAGAGAGCCTCTTCATCCTGCCTGGGACTCTGATCCTTCCTCAGCCTCCTCCTCCCAGACAGCCCAGACAGCACTGGGCCACCACATGGATCCCCTGGCTGAGTCACCAGCTGCCAGAGCAGACAGCTTCATCAGCTCATTAGGAGATAAGCACTGAAGACTAATTAATGTGTGGACAGAAGGAAATCAGGACTTACCCTCCAAGAGAGACAGAAGATTTCACTCTGGTCTTCAAGATGGCCTGCTGATAGTACATGATCTGAGGAGATCAGACATGGCCATGGTTAGGATCATGGAGGCTTCAAGATAAGGCCTATCTAAACCTCAAACAGGTTCTCTCCCAGGAAGTGGAGCTAACTACAGCAGGGACTGCTTCTTCCCTAATTACTGGATGTCCAAGGAACCAGAGGATCCCTGAACTGTCTCAGTAAAATGTCTGTTTTCACTGAGCTTACTGCAAACATCAGAAACGCACTTTGCAATGTGCAAGTAATTAAAAAGCACTCCCCAATGTTATACAGAAATTGAATAATAGCTACCATCCTCAGCACCTACCAATGCTCTGGATGATTTAGCATGTAATTATCATTGATTCTTGGCTGTCTCTGTGCTGGCGCCACTGTGATTTCCCCACCACCAATTTTGATCTATTGGATTTCAGCCCTGGTGTCTGTCCTTGCCTGAGCCTTCCCGTCACTGGGAGAGCTGCAGTGGGAGGGAATGTCCTGAAATTACATTGATAAAAGCTCCATGATGCAGGGATTCTGCTTTCACAGAGAGCTTTGAGCCACACTGGTGCAAGCAACTCACACAGGATGAACACTGAGAAGTGCAGGAAGCACCACTCACCTCTCTCCTATAGAATTCCATCGTATTTTTCTGTAAAATATTAAAAAAAAAAATCATTAAATTGGGATGGGTGGTTACACTTGCTTTTTTTTTTTTTTTGAGACATGGAAACACCGTTGCAGGGCTGCTGTTGTGCAGCGCTCTCCAATTAATTCTGATTACAATTAAAATCAAACACAGCAGCTGAGCTAATCAGGGTATCATCAAAGCTAAGAGCATCCCCACACGGTAAATTGTCCCATTAGCTGTATTTACTGTTTAGCATTGCTTCTCCCATCACAGGCTGCCTGTATGCCTTCAATTAAGGGCTTATTCTAATGGAGCTAAAATAGATTCATTTACGAGACACAGATTAGATCATTCAATATTAGCTAAAGGAGACAGGAACCAACACATTGCAAAATATAAACACCACAATTAAAAGCCTCAGAAGCAGTATCTGCTGTGCAAAGGGTGTTTACGTTGTGATTTGAATAACTCAGCCTATGTTACATGTCATCCACAAATGAGCAGGCAATCGAAGGCAAGGAATTAACTGCAGGGTGTTTATTCACACAGCTTCCTTTGAAGCACAGTTACTTTGTGTGGAATAAACTGCAGAAGGGAGAAGGCAAGACAGGCTAAGTCAGGGATGCTCCCAGCAAACCTTTAAAGGCTCAAGCAGGGTTTCAGTTGCTCAGCTCCTGTTTCAGTCAAGACCTGCATCCCAAAATTATTTTATCAAATGAGCCCTGTGGCAGGTGGGGTCTGCAGCGTGCCTTGAAGAAGTGCAGTTTGTGAGGGATGAGGGATGAAGATTCTGGTACTGAATGCCACAGGCAGCTCTGCTCTCCCCTCACCTCCCCAGAGACCCTGCACCCCAAACTGCCCCTGTTTTGGGAAACACAAGATGCTCCCCCAAGGCTGCTTTGTGGGGACACTGATCTGCTTTTGCACTTTAACCATCACCAGTCCTGCTCAGGAGGGAGAAACTCTTTCCCACAAGGCAGAAAAACACTCCCCTTTTGCTGTCACTTGGTTCTGAGAAGCCCACTCACCATTTCAGCAGCAGAATCCAATCCCTACAGCAGCACCACAGAGCCAGCCCTGACCCAGACCCAGCCTGGCCAGTGGGGCACCAAAATAAGTTCTCACAGTGGTGTTGTGAGGGGAGGAAGCTTTTCCTGCTGGGAATACCATGAGCAGCTCTGAGTGGGCAGCACAGACCATCTCAGCAGGGACAAACAGGGCAGCAAAACCCAGCAGTGATGCTGTGCTGGCCCCCTGTGGGAGAGGGGGAAAGGACTGACACATCAAGGGACAGAAAAAGCTCTAGGACAGCAGGATCCTTGCTCACAGGGCTGTACAACCTCCCCTGCTGATTCACAGGCTCCTGGGACACCCTGATAAATGATGGAAGAGCTGAGGAACAGCTTTTCAGCCTTCTCTGCTCTCAGCTGCACCCCTGATTCCAGGTCACCTTCTATACAGACACCCTTTCTTCATCTCATTTCTAGAGTGCCATTGTTTCAGACAGACTGCAGAAATAGAAGGGAAAAATCACCTGCTTGCAGAGAGAAATTTATGGAATTTACTGCCCTAAAGTGTCCTGTTTAGAAACCTGTGTTTCTGCTCCAGGCCAGCTGCCTCCTGCCCAACAGGAGTTCACTGTATCCCTGGGGAATGTGAGATACAAACCAGGCCTCATCAGATTTCCAAGTGCCAGCTGAAGGGTTCCATTTGATGGAACTTGTGGCTAGAGCATTGATTTCAACATGTCAAAATCATTTAAAAAAACGTATTTTCTTCCACTTTTTTTCTCAACTGGGGCCTCAGACAGGCCTGGTGCAGTGGGGAAGGAGAAGTGGGTGCTGGCACAGTGGCTTGAAGGCAGCTCACGTGGTAGGAAAGTGGTGTTATCTTCTAGAGGGGTCTGAGAGGCTGGCAGCACAGCACACACACACGAGACAAACAGCTGTGGGAAAGAGAAAGAGAACACAGTGAGTTAAATGTTATACAGAGACAGAAAGGGATCCATTAAAATGCCATCACAACAGGAAAATTATATGTGGGTGAAGAAAAATCAGCAAGGGAAGATTTTTTTTTTTTAAGTGCCCCACACACCAAGAATCCCCTCCTGCCACAGTCTTTGTGGAGGACAGTGTGGTGTGTAGCTGCTCCTGGGAAAACAACAAGGGGGGCTTTGCTGGGGTGCTCCAGGTGGGGAGGGGATTTGCCAAAGCTCCCCCAGGAAGGGGCTGAGCATCTCTGAGCAGTGGCACAAACTGAACTGCAGCAAATCCAAGGGGAGCCCACTGCTGAACACCTGGGAGGCTGCAGGTGCTGGCTGTGCTCAGCCCCTTCCAAGCCCCTAGTTCTCAAAGCAGCAGTAACTGGGAGGAATCTCAGCTATTTCACCTCAGAGCTGCTCGTAATTTCATTTCCCTTTCTCCCACAGTGCCCCCACTTCCCAGTTCAGAGCTGCCACAAGTGGCTCTGAGCACTCTCCGGGTCCCACCGAGCCCTGCCAGCTGTGCCCACCACCCACCCTCCCCTACCCCCACTACTGCCTGCAGCAGTGCCAAAGTGCCCTGCACCACCCACCCACTCTGCCTCATTTGGAAGGAAATCATCTTTGGAACAAAAGAGTGGTTTCTCATAATGAGATTAATTTTGCAATGCCCTTAACGAGTGACTTATCGCAATTACTGCGGATCAGCTCCCAGCCCTGCAGCCTCCAAATCAACATGGCAATTACTGAAAGGCCTCAGTCTGGCCCAAGTGAGTGCCACGAGCTGTTCCACATCCTGTGACACCCCTGAGAACCCCGTGGCACTGGGACACCCTGCGTGCCCTGGTCACAGCCCGTGCCACCAGCCCTGTGCTCCCCGGGCACTGGGGCTGCAGAGCCCAGCTGGGAGCCAGCCAGGAGCTGCTCAGAGCCCTGCCTGGAGCTGATCCGCGTGGCTGAGGCCACCAGCTCCTACAGGAGCTGGGATATCTGCTCATTCCTAGCTACCTGTTTGCTCCTCTGCCCAGTGGGAGACTTCCTGACCACACTGGGAAGATGATGGTCATGGTGGTTTTGCCTCTCTGTTTACAGAGCGTTTACATAGCTGGAAGCAGCTTTGGGTGGATGCCTGGAAGGAGCTGGGAGTGAAGAAAGTTGTGCAGAGCTTGTCTGGGACCAGGACACTGCAGTTCCCCCCTCACTCTGCCCAGAGCGCTCCATGCACAGAGCTTGGCAGGCTGAGGCTGATCCCCGGAATCCTGTGCAGGGAATTGGCCACTAAGCACAGGGCAGAGCCAGCCGAGCCTCCCTCCACAGCTCTGGGCAGCAAATCTGCCTTTCCAACCCTGCAAAGTGCAGCCCAGCTGCCTCTGCACACCCCGACACCCCTGCTCAGGGCAGCCCTGCTCCCTGCACTCTCCCAGCCAGCTGAGAGCCTGCAGAGGCAAATCCTGACTCTGGCATTAGATCATCCCAACACTCATCTCCACTGTGCTGGTGCATCCAGCCCTGCAGCTGGAAATCAAATCCATGTTCCCAGCTTTGTTCAAATGGCCATTTTCCTCCTGCCTTGTTTATCTGCCCCTGACCCTGTGCTTTCCAAACTTGTGATGATGCAGCAGAACTTTATCAGGCGAACTGGCAGGGATTTATGGAATTAAAGGCCAGCAATGACTCGTTGATCTGTGGCTGATTTGCTGCACGCAACAAACCAGGGCACTTCACTCAGCAGCCCCTGAATGCAGCACAGAGATTTCTGGGGGAGCTAAAGCTCTGGTTCCAGGAGGCAGAGGCTGTGCAGGTGCCTGCAGGCACTCAGTGGTCACTCTTCAAGCAGAGAGGCTTGGTGTGAGGCTGAGAGCCAACAACAAAAGGCTAAAGCATCCCTTAATTAGCTGTTCGATGGGTGGCTACTCCTGCCTGACTCCTGCCCATCCACAATCCCTAACTCATTGTAACCACGAGGTTTGCCCATGGATCAGTAATAGAAGTCCCCTTCAAAGCAGTTTGAGCGCCTGTTTGTCCCCAGAGGACTCTATCTGTGAGGGGGAAGAAGCCCAGCAAGGGTCTGAGCAAGAGAGATGTTCATGCTAATGTCAGCTTCAAAGAAATCAGGAATTCATTTTTTTCTTTCCTTCTCAACTGCCAAGATAAAAAACTCCATAATTTGGCCAACAAAGCGAAAGTAGATTGAGCAGGAACAGGGACACAAATCAGAGCTTGGCCCATTCTTTCTGCTCACCAAAGGCTGCTGAGCCACAGGTGTTGGTGAGAGCAGAGAACAAAACCAAAGCTGCTGGTCCAAAGGTCCCCCATGAGGGCTCCTGGCTGTCTCATGTATTCTCAATCACTCTTTCTAAAGCAAAAGGAGGAGCAAGGAGAATCTTCCCTCTTCAGCTCAGCCTCCAGAGGGGAGGCACAGCTCAGAGAGCAGCTTAAAGGAGAAGGGCAGGGAAGTCACCCCAAAGCTGGTGTCCTTTGGCTTCTGCCCTCCCTGGAGCTGCCCCTGTCTCTTATGGCCAGGGTGGAAGTGGGCAGAGGTCACTCAGCTCCCTCCCCCTGTGCCACCAGGCAGCTGGCAGATGGATGGAGCTCCTCAGACCGTTTGCAAACCTAAAATCCCTTCCATGTCAGCTGTAAAACTGTGGGCGAGAAGTTGGCTTACTCCTCTTTCTATCCCTCTCCCTTGCCACTACTTCTTTACTCTTAAAAGAGAAAAAAAAAAGGCTTTTCAGCAGCTGCTACTTACAGCAAGAAAAAAAAAAAAATAAAACACACCCCAACCCTACACTTTGCTCCTTTTCAGTCTCTATAGCAACAGAACACAGCTGGCCAAAGCAATTATCCTGCCTTGGCTGCTGAGATGTTTAAAGGCTGCTACAAGAATGGGAAGTTGTGGGAACGCTGTGAGTGTGGTGGCAGAAACATTTGCATTGAATTGCTGAGAGATGTTTTGACTTTGCTTCCAAATGAACACTGTTAAGGGCACAAAGACAGGATCATTTCAGAGGACTGATGGGGAAAGGGAACAGCGGCTCCAGCTCCTCATCCAGTGACTGGATCTGTGTGATTTCAGACCAGTTCACCCAGTTACAGCCCTCACGCTCTCCATTCACCGATTCTGTTTCTTTATGGTCTACAGTATGCATTTTTGGCAACATTTTGTGTCTCCTATCCACCACACCAACTTCTTCATCTTCTAATCACACATTAATTACCCTCTGGGAGGTATTCTGTAATTTGATTTTAAACCTGGATCTTTGCACTGACCCTTTACACCCCACAAAGTTCATTCAGCACTCATACAAAGGCAGCAAGGAGCACCTGGAGATAGAGCATTCCTCAGTTCACCTTCACCAGCAAAGAAAACATGTCCTGCAGCCAAGCACTCACACTAACTGGTGTGGCAAGAAAGCTGACAAAGTCTTTTCAAGGCAGAAGAAGCTGCCAAAGCCTATTTTGAGGGCCTCACCTCCGGGGTGAGAGAGCCTCAACCGCTGGCCTGTGCAGCTGTTAGAGCTGAGCTGACACACTCAGCCTGCAGTGCCCAAAAAATGACAACCCCAGGGACATTTTCTGGGTCCTCCCAGACAAACTGAGTAGGCGTGTAAAGAAAAACCAACCCTGTCTCACCTGGTTTACCTTATTTTCATTGGGATCTGTGACACGGTCTAATCCATACTCGAGGACATCCAGCATGCCTGGCTGAGGTGAACAACAAACAAAGCTTTGTAACTCATTTGGTTTAAAGGCTGTGCATCACACAATGCAGGAGGAGACCCCCAGGCCTCCACGGGCAGCAGCTCCCAGCCAGCAGTGCCTTGGGAACTCCCAGATTTGGGAATGCCCCTCTTTGTGCTGCAGCTGCACCTCTGTCCCTTGCAGCTTTGGGAACAACCAAGGAAAGGTGGTGGGGACTCAGGGCAGGGCTGGGCTGGCCCTCCCCTGGCACTCGGCCCAGAGGCTGTGCCCTTTCCACATGGGAGCTTGTCCCAGGTGGCTGCAGGGAGGGCACCACCGAGTCACTGAAGTCACCCTGTCACCCTCTACTCACAGGAGCTCTGTTCACAAGCCAGTAGGCTCTCTCCTGGCAGTCCAGGGCATACCTGTCCTCCTTCTTCCGCTCCTTCCCTGCCCTGCAAAGCCAAGAACAGGGCAATTCAGGAATTTTGTCCTCCTAAAATCAGTGGGATGAGAAGCAGGGCACACCTCCAGCCTGCTGTGCCCCGTGGGTCCCGGCTGCCCCGATGCCACCCCTGACCACATCCTGTCCTGGCTATTCTGGGCTGCACATCATGTTCACATGGCCACACATGACTCTGGCTTTTGAGAAATCATCATCTTCCTGAGCTGAGCTGGGAGCAGACACATCCCCTTCTGATCAGGCACACAGCCCTCTGGGAGCTCTCTGCTGACTTGCCCTCAGTCCTGCTGCTTCACCTTTGTCCCTGTCCCATGTCCCCAAGGACTGCCACCCAGAGATACACCCTGGACGTGTCTTATCCCTGTCTCTCTGTAAAGCAGAGGCATTTCTCAAAGAAACTGCTTGGAAATGGTTCTGAGGAGGGTTCCCAGGCACTAAAACCCAAATCACCTCCACAATTAAACAGAAGAGGCACTAGCATGGTTTGGGCTTGGACCAACTAATTCTTTCCCAGAAAAGTCCTGAGCACAATTTGGGAGTTAGCACGGGGAAGGGAACATTCCCAACAGGCTGTCTGCATGTGGCCTCCCTGCTGTGGTTACAGGGTGGGTGCTCTGCACCAGTCTGCCCCAGCAGCACCATCAAACAGCCTCAGACGAGTTTAATCTACTGCTTCAGACACAGGCTGGGTATCTAACTTTGAAACTGCATTTGGCATCTCTTAGCCCAAGTCTGACCTCAATTTACAAGAACAACAGTCTCTGTTTAATGAGACAGTTATCTGATGAGCTGTACTCCGAGGACTTGGCTGCCATCCCAGGAACAGAGAGGCTGCTGAGCAGCAGAGACACTGCCTGCCCTGCCAGGAGGTAAAGGAAGGTGAGTCCACAGAAGCAGGAAAGAGCTCTAAAGAAGTATTCCCATCTCATGTTCACCAAGTTTCCTGAGAATTTGAAGGTTTCAGTTCCTAAAATCAACTCATTTTAGCTGGATACCTAAGGATGCACTTCAGTTTTCTGCAGAAGTCCCTGCTGGGACCATTACTGTTTCTTGATTCACTCCATTCAGCTGAGAGATGTGCCAGTAACTCCTGACCCAGATCAGCAACAGGCCCTAAGTCCAGGGCCTGATCCCAAATTCTCATGGAGAACACTGAGCTAAATGAAGTTGTTTCTAATTAGGGCTTGCAGCATCAGAACCCAGCTTCAGAACCACATCAAGTGCAAAATCTAAACCTCCACTCCAAGCCATTTTCAAGCCATTTTGGTGTTTTTAATGTGTGATTGAACTGTGCACTAAGCCAAGCTCTGCTCCTCACACCCTCCCCAGTAATGCAAACAAGGGAATGCAATTCAACTCACTTATACTGCTCCTTGGCCTGCATAATGACAAAATCCCACTTGTAGTTTATTTTTTGATTGAGCATGTTGTAATGTTCCTGGAATAAAAATAAAAAAGCAGTTAGTGTGAAAATTCTGACCAGGGCACTCCCATGCTGGGGTTTTCTTGACTCTCCATAGTTCAACGAGGCCAGGCTGGCCACTGAGCCAAGAAATCTGGATTGTTCTGCACGTAATTACAAGAATTGCAACAGTTCAAAAATACCATTGCAAGGAGAGCAATTACCCCTGCTAAAATTATAATTGACTTCACAGTAGTTTTCTGTACTGGTCGTTTTTTCACTTGCAAAATCTTGGCCTTTGATACTGCTGGAGAAACACCTCATGCAATTGAAGAGGTGATTTTTTTTTTTTTTTGCTGTGCCCCACTCATTAGCAACAAAGGGCTTAAGTTGTAGCAAATGAGGGTCTTGTAATAGAACAAGTGCAGTGTCTCCTCACCTTTTCATATTCTTCCAAAATCCCTTTCCTTTTAATGTTCTTCTTTGCTAGATAAATTGCTGTGGAGGTAGAAGCAAATTAGCAGTCACTTATACAACAAGTCCAAGAATAATTAAAAACTTACCCACATTACAGACAGGAGCCTTTGTCTGCTACAATATCTTCCCAGGCATGAGCTCCAAGCTCACAAAAGCTCAGTGAAGAGAAAAGGACTTGGTGCTTTTGGGATGTCACTGATGCCCAGGCAGGACAGGCAGCGTGTGCCTTCTGCCACCCTTCCCTGGGGAGCTCAGCCAGCCTTCCATGGGTCAAGGGACACTGGGCCAAACCTTCCAGGTGTTGAGGCTCCTCAGAGTTTGACCTCCAAGGTTTCTGAGCACAGGCCAGTGTTTTTTGCTCAAGTTCTAATAAAAACATTTTATTTTCTTGGGAGATTTACAGCATAATGCAAATAAAAACCACAGAGGACAAGCCTGGCATGGACAAATCAGTCTGTGAACTGCACAGCTCACAGCAGCAAACCCAGCTGATCAGCCCAAGATTCATGATCAGCTCTACTACAAAAAGCAACGTAAAGACAATGTCTTGGTTTGAAACAAGAGATTTACATGGAAAAAAGCCATCAGGAGATATTGGAAGTCACTGTGCTTTCTACAAAGAAAGAACCATCTCTGAATGCAGGGCTTGATCCAAATCTACAGGAAGACAGCCTTGGGCTCAGATCCAGGAACACACTTAACTGCTCAGGGAAATCTGATCTTGTGTTTAAAGTCTTCCCTCCCCAGCAAGGTAATTCAGATGAGTTCCTGTGTGATGGATCTTAGTGGAACACAAGAGCTTAAGCACTTTCTCTCATCAAGGCCACCACAAGATGGTCACACCCTCAATTCATCATTATTGAGAATTATTCACAAAATAGCATGAAAAAAATGCCAGGGCTGGTCATTGTGAGTGGAGACACAGCACAAGAACAAGAAGGGCAGGTGTGGAGCAGGACTGTGGCACAAACCCACACCCCACACCCTGGGCACCCCTGGACTGTGTGACAAACCCACACCCTGGGCACAGGCAGTGCCACCACTCACCATAGTCTGTGTCATCAGCAGCCCAGCCCTGTACTGGCCAGAAATAGGGGGTCTGCAAGGGAAGGAGCCTCCTGTTAGTGCACACAGGCCCTGAAGTCATGGACTCATTCCAAGTACCAAGAATATCCTGATTTCCCAGTGACAGCAGTGGAAACAGTCCAGCCATGAACCTCAATACCATCCTGTTCTTACTGTGCTTTTTGTATATTCATTATTCAGGGCCCCCTCATGTCCATTTGCTACTTTAAGACCTGGAAGGGAACACTCTTTGGAGGAAAGCACAACTATTTTTAGGTTGAACAAGTACACTCATTTCATTGAAGACAAACTATCAGTTTCCCTGTAAACTGCAATCTCAGTCTTCTCTGTGCAGACTTCTCTGAGTCTTTTCCTTCCTCCTGCACAGCTACACAGCTCCTGGGAACTGCCCCAGCTGCCTGTTTTCAATAAAAACTAGAGCTGAACTCCCTCTCAACAGCTTAGAGGAGCTGCAACTCACTTGAAACCTGTAGAGGCTGCCATCTGCCTTCAGGGTGAGGTTCTTTGGCTCCTGAAGAGGGTAGATATATCCATATTTGACAAACAGGTCTCCCAGGTGGAGTGCCTCTGAAAATGGAGAATGCAGATGTTTTCATTGCACAGAAACACTTCACTGGAATTAAAAGTGAGCTCTTATGCAGGGGAGAATTCAACTAAAAGGTTTTGCTGCTTGAGAGTTTGGTTTTATGGCTGGAAGCTGAGAAAGGCTCAATTTTCACATTTTTACCCACCTTCTGCAGTGATCTGCAAGCGCTGAAGGATCCACTGCATTATATCATTACCTGCAAAGCAAAGCAAAGGTCAGGCACTGAAATCAGGAGTGTGCCCAAATCCACAGGGGGAAGGAGATTTCTGCAGTCCTCGCCCCTCACTGTGCCCTGGATGCCATGGGGGCACAGCCCTCTTTCCTGCAAATGTGCTTTCAAATGCAAGGAGGCACAGGTGAAATGCACTGCTGGGCCACGCTGGCACCCCCAGGGCACCCAGCCTGAGGCAGGCAGTGACCTTGGCATGGCACAGAGAGTGTCACCAGCTCACATGGCCTCAGCAGCATCCAAACCCCCATCAGAGGCTTAGAAAGGGCTTAAGGATGCAACAGCTTTCTCACCAGGGAAGGGGAGGTTTTGCTCCAGCTTGCCTGGAAAGATTCACTGCACAGAAGCTCCAGAGCCACAAAGCACAGTCCTGTCTCAGTTTCGTAGAAGACCAGTGCCTGATCCTCAAAGAGTCCTTTAATGGGCAGAAGAGATGTCCAAATCTCAGATCCAAGCTGCAGTGGTTACAGCATTTATCAAACTCACACACATTTTCTCTCCAAGTTCTTTTGTTGGACTGGGAGCAGTTGTACCCACCACAGGCAGCATAAACCTCCAGCCATTTTAGTTTTATGTTCTGAGGGGCAAATTCCATGAACCTCCTTCCACTTAAAGAGGGCAAAAAGGCACTTTATCCCTGACCAGTTGCTGGCCTTTTCCTCCAAACCTCCCCTAGGACTGCAGACTGAGGTGTTGACCTTTCTTGACATTGCAGTGATGACTTAACTTTCTAATAGGGGCTCAGAGCTCTTATCCTACTGCCTGCTTCCTGAAATAGATGAAATTAAAGGATTATCTCATCACTCATTTCTAGACAGCTCCCTCTGTAAGCACTTTCCCCCAAAGGTGCACATTTAACATCGAGGTTTATTTGTGAGCCATTTTACTGACTTTCACTGAATTTAACTAGTTAGCTTCCTGCACAGGCAGAGCCAGGCTCTCTCCAATGGATGTGTCCCCTGCTCCAATATCTCCACCACACCCTCATCAAAATGAATCAACCTCTTTTGCAACACCCAGAAGCCAATCAGTATCATGCAGCACTAAAAATATCATTTTAGAGAGGGATGACCAGCACACAGGGGGAGTGGAAGTCACTTGCCTCTCAGAGGTGGACTAGAATTTATGACTTGTGCAAGAGGGAACTTGGAACAATTTTAGTTAAGGAAGCAGAGTAAAGCAGACAGCACACATTGAGGGTCATTGCCAAGACATCAGACAGCCAAGGACTTTTAGGAAGTGGGATTTTACACTGGGCAGACATCAAGAGAAGTTCTCCTTCCCCTGCACTTGATCTGTGTGAGACGTCATCCTCAGCACACGGAATCTCCTTTTTGTGCTGCCTTAACCATTCCCTGACAGCTCTGGGAAGCTCCTTTGTACAGGCAAAGCCTCCACCCAGCTCAGCTGCAGAACAGCTGTGTGAGCCAGGATGTGGTCTGCACTGCAGGGCAGGGAGGGTGAGGCTGAGAGCAGGCTTCAGATGTGTCCAGGTTCTCCTGAGCCTTCCCCTGGGCAAGTGACTTCAGGGCCTCTGCAGCCCCATTTTTTTATTTTTTTTTTAATTGGGGCAAACAACACACTGAGCCTACCAAGCTCTGCAAACACAGTGGGGGAATTCTCTTGACTTGCCTGGAGCAAACTCACTTTGTTTCAGTGGGAGGTTTTGTTCTGAATTTCCAAGTGCTGAAGAAAGCAGCAGGAGGAGGAAACTTGGGTATGGAGTATGTGTGAATATTTATAGCAGAGGATTCCTCACAAGAGCTTTTGTGGAGGCTCGGAGAGCAGGGAAGCAGAGGTACTGATAGTGCCTGCTGAAAGGAGTAGCAGGCACAAGGAGGCTGTGACAAGAGCTGCCTGTAACACTGCACATGACACAGCACACCCCTGTCTGCTGCTCCTCCAGCCTCTTGAGGGAGGCAAAGCTGTCATTTACAGGCACAGAAGTGGGTTGAATATTTTGTTCTTTTCCTGCCTACTCAAGAAAAATTATTACTAGCAGTAAACATTAAAAGGAAGACTAATTGTTAATTGCTCATTTCTGAAGTACCATCTTTCAGTCTGCCTCCAGACTGCTTGTTTCAATTGGATTTTAATATTTATCTGTATTTGTGATGCAGCCTCACTGGGAGCATGGGAGGTCTGGAGGCTGCAGCATGTCCTCACCTCTGTGCTAAGGCAAGGTCACTTGAGTTAACCCCCAGGAGACAGCTGAGAGTGCCTGGGGATCCACCTTCGTCTGACTCAAAGAGCAGGAATGAGATGAGTGAGAACAACATCAAGGGGGCAGGTACATTTCAAACGATGAACAGCTAATATTTACTGGGAACAGAGCTCCAGCACGCAGCCAGGCACTGGCAGCCCTGCCCAGGGGCTCCACAGGCAGATCTTCTGTGCTGAACTGGGCCCAGTCCCTGCCCCCAGGGCAGCTCTTACCTGTCACAGCGTGGGGGATGCTGGTGACCATCACTGTCTGTGTCTGTGTCTTGATTCCTGTGTCTGGGCTCTGCATCTCCATCATGAGAGCTTCGATCTGCAAAGCAGGAGAGGGGAAGGGATGGGATGGATGCCAGGAGTGGGCAGGAGGGAAGCCAGCATTCCAGAGGGTGGGCACTGGTATGCCACAGCAAAGCCTGCAGTGGCCACAGCCCTCTCTGAGCCCTCCACCTGCAGCCCATGGCAGCTCACACTGCCACGGACACACACACAGCCAGGGCTAGCACAGGAGGGACAGGATGGAACCACTCCATGAGAGCTAAGGCATAACAAAAAAAAAATTAATTCTCTGCTTCCCACACCCCACAACATCCAGAAAGGTTCTTCTCTGGCTCACTGGGCACTTAGAAAATAAAATGGGGCAGGAATAAAACCTGTGCTTCTGTAAGGGGTGCACAGGAGGTGTGTGAGGGGCTCTCTGACATTCCTCCCCCACCCAGGACCCAGCCCCTCCAGGGATGGGGCAGGCACATCCTCCTCTCTGGATGATCACCTCCCACCCGGGACTCCTCAGGGATCCTGGTGACTCATTTTTAACAGGATGAGTCTCACACTCAGGGCCAGACAACTTCTATTCCTCATTCCCAATTATCTTTATTTCTTTTTTAAAAGATAAATATTTTCAAAGGTATTTTCCTCCTCTTTGTCTTCCTACCAGCACCATTCCCAAAGCACAAAGCCTTGCTTTCACTTGGGATCTGTGCTGGGGCACACTCCTCATCTCGTTTTTGATTATCTGAGTGTCATGAGAGCTTTGGGGAAGATGTTCTTCTTTTTGTCTTCTGCTTCCAGGGCTATTAAATCAAAACTGGCCCAACAGGACCAATTTGGTCTCTCCACACATTTGTTTTGGGTGAGGCTGTAGCTTTTTAACTGAGAGCAGAGGATTTAACAGTGTGAGTTGATGACACACACATATAATGGAGGGCATTGTCTTCACAGGCACCACAGTGACTTTGGTCCCAAGTCTTGCCAAGTTCTGTGAGGATTTAAGCTGTAGTGACAGGATACACTCTGGGCTTGTCAGTAAAACTGGATTTTCAACTGCTTTTAAAGGCACTGACATATTAATGCTAAAATGGAGAAGCCTGGTAAAATTTAACATAAATATTTGTATAAATACTTATAAAATATTTTAAAAGAGCAAAACCAAAGCAGAAGAGATGGGCTACAAAGACATTTTTAGGTCTTTTAGCAGAACTCACAATTTCAACCTCAGAAAGTTCAACTGTGTGGGATGAGGTGAGGCAGGCAGGGCACTCTTTAGGAAACTGCCGTTCTAAGCAAAGCCAGGTACCTTGGGAAGTCACCCTCTGTGACTGCAGTCCCTTCACAGAGAACAGAGATGCTGGGGGCAAACACAGCCCTGCTCATCCCTCTGTGTCCATGCAGTGACCACCTGGCAGATCCCACCAGGACCTGTGTTCCAGGCAGGCAGCACATCCTGCTCCAGCACGCAGCTGCTGCTCTCCAGGTGGGCTCCAGAGACACATCTTCAACCAGCTGAGAGCAGGGAATGGCTCAGAAACCCCCACAGCCCCCAGCACAGCATGTTCCCTTCCTTTAACCAGCAACTCTTCAACTCTCGTGGTGTTCACACTCAGCCACACTCCCCCCTGTCACTGGAGAAATGACAAATACATTAAAAAGTAAGGAGCTGCAAAGCATCCACCTTGCTGATCAAACCTCAGCCTGTGTCTTTTCTCCCAAGGGAACAGTGGATTACAGGACCAGGAGCTGCTGTCAGCACCAGGCTGCCAGGGGAGGCCAGGAGGGCTCCTTCAGACACAGCAGAAACACTTCCTTGCTTTGCTAAGGGCTCTAGCACATTTTGTCACACTTTCAGCGCTTCAGACACAGCAGGAACACTTTTTGCTTTGCTAAGGGCTCTAGCACATTTTGTCACACTTTCAGCCAGGAAAGAGCTGTCTGGTTTGAATTTCGCAGAGCCAGAAGCCACTTCCTGACTGGTTGATGGGTGGAGATGCACACAGAGGTAAATATCAGGACTGTGGAAGGAGCCAGGCTCCAGGGAGAGCTCATCTCATACACACAGACATCACAAGGCAGGAGCCCCCTGGGGATTTCCCTTCAGATCAGCTGGAATCTCTGCCTGGAGGTGAACTCACCCTGAAAGCCACACAGGACACAACAGGAAAACTGTTTGTCCCCTCTAACTGCACCAACTCACAGGGTTCAGCTCACTGAGTGCAAAGCAGAACTCCCATACAGTGAGAAAACCATCACTGGATTTCAGGAGCCCGTGGAAGCCCCAGGGAGAGGCAAGTGGCCACCAACTGATGGGGTGTCCATGGTCCTGGAGGAGGAGGATGGATGCTGTCCTGCAGCATGGAGCAGTGATGGATTGCTTGGCTGAGTTACCCTGGGTGCAGGTCCCAGCCCTGCTATAGCCTGAGCTCCACCCTTTGGGCACCCACCAGCCCCCCAGGATCAGGGCACCCACAATGCAGGAAAAACAAACTCCAGGTGCTGAGACTCAGAAACGCAACAGCAAAACACTGCCAAGGTGAGGAGTGTGGGAACCCATAAAATCAAAAAGTTTTTAAAAAGATACAAAAGACAAGCCTCAAAGACAGAAAAACTGTGATTAGAGCTAAGCAGTAGCCATAAGATAAGTCAGCAAAAAAAAAAAAAGAAGTAGAAAAGTAAGAACAAATAGAACAACAGTGTGTGCATTAACACTTGGCTAGAATAACTCCCTAAGCTGCAGAAAAGTCTATCTAGCAAGATATTAGGAAGTTCTAAGCTTAATAATGGAGCTCTGTGCATTGTGTTTTAAAGCTTAAAAACAAGCATTATATTCAAAATAAGCAAGCATTGTTTTAACCAAAGGGACATGTGCTTATAGCAATTAGATGGAACTACTGTCAACATGTTTTTGCTTTGTGTGATTGGTCAAAAAACTTTTAAAGTAAGTTGTAACATTAAGTTCTTAGTCTGCTGCCTAAGATGTGAGCTGATAGCATCTTCCCATTGTCATAACCATGTAATGAGACTGATGCTAAAAAATACAACAGCTCAAAACACATTCCTCAGCAGTCCTGTCCCGTTTGTGATTTGTACATAGCCCCAACCAGTGATGAGGAGCTCGGCCCTTCTCAGCATCAACCCAGACAGGGGCATCTTTGCTTCACACACAAGAAAGATCAATTTTCCCAGCAGGAATCTCCAGTTCCCAGCTGAGTGAACAGTCCTGGTGCTGTAATTAAACATCTGCTGCTCTCTCCACCCTATTTGCCTGGTTCTAGCCCCCGTCACTGCCTGCTGCTGTTTGCAAGGATCAGCCATACCTGCTCTGATTTCCAAGGTAACAACACAGTCCTTATCCCCACTCTGGCCTCTGAAGGCTCATTCAATTGTTTTCTAGGTCTACAACCACCAGCCTTGCTTCGCACATTGATGGATGATCAGAAAAAAGAAGAAATTAAAAAAATCCATTGTTAACCAGCTAAAACTTCCTGCTTTTTCTTAATTAAAGCTGAGGGGAAGTGGCTTATTCCCACTGAGTGATGCCTCAGCTAAAGGAAGCAAATCTGTGAGTGGGGAGGGCAGGGCTGTAGCTGGCTCTTCCCAGTCTGGAGGGGATTTTTTCCAAAGAAAGATGTGGCACTGGCATCTCCCAGCCTGGAACAAGGAAAGGGAGGATGGGATGAGGCTGAGCTTGGCTTAAGGCTCAGTTTCAGCCATACCCAGGGCCTCAGAGAGCAGGAGTCTCCTGGATTCCAGCAAAAACACAATTCAGCTGCTCACACACTTCTGGAAATGCCCAGGAAGATGAGGCCCAGCAGCTGCTGGAAAGTCTCAGCCTGGAGAAGCAAAGCCAGGCTGGAAAAGCCCCCAGCCATGCTGCAGACCCTGGAACAGCCCCTCCCTGGCTGCTGCACAGCCTGGGAGAAGCCAGCAGGCACCAGAGTGAGGAGGAGGCAGGGAAGAAGGAGGAGGCAGGGAAGAAGGCATCCATCAGCCCTACCCACAAGGTGTGAGTCACTGTGCAGCTCGTGCAGCACAGCAAGGAAAAATACCCAGCCCAGGAGCTCCTGAGAGCACAGCCCAGCTCTGCCAGCTGATGCCCAGCAGAGCCACATCTGGCTGCTGGAGCAGGCACGGGCACCAAGAGCTTGGGTTCATTCAAGCTCTCACAGGATCCAGCCAAAATAATTTCAGAGGCTTGCTTGCTATCCCAAAAGACTTTTTGGTCATTCTTCCTCCAGCCAATATGGTTTAGAAGGGGAGGAAAAAACAGAATAAAACAATCTAAGTGCTAGCATGAAGAGCAGGTGTTACAGGGCTCTGGAGGCCTCTGGTCCCCTCACAGCTCAGCCACAAAGAGCAAGCTGCACATCCAGCCTGAGTTGTCCAGAGCAGCCTCACAGCAAGAGCAGGGCACTGCCCACCACCCCTACAGCAACCCCCTGTGCTCTCCCCGTGTCCCATGGCAGGATTGCTGCTGTGGCCACCATCTTCCTGCTGCAGAGGCAGCACAGAGGGGTGCTGGCAGCTGTGAATGCACACAGGGCCCACGGGCTGGCAGCATGGCAGGAATCCCTCCCTGCAGCTGCAGCAGCCCAGGCACAGCGAGTGCCAGCTGGTGGCAGAGCGTGAGCACAGGCTTAGGCAATTAACAAAGCTTCTTTCGAGGATTTTAGCTCCTCATGGGTCTAAGCCTGTAAGGGGCTCACTGGGTGCACGCTGAGCATCCTCAGCTCCTGCCATGGGCACCAGTAAAGGAAGCTCTGAGGACGTGCCTGTCTGCTCATAGACCACACTGCCATGCAACAGCCAAGCCTCCATGGCTCCTCCGAGGTCTGGAAAAAACAGCAGGAGTGAAAGTGGAGATGAGAGCCAAGGGCTTTCACTGACCACCAGGAGCTTCCCTTCCTGCTGCTAACAGGTCCTGGACTTGCAAAGCACTGAAGTGCTCGGCGCCCCCGGCTGCTCTCAGTGTGAGCCGTGCACACTCTGTAACAGCACTGGCTGTGTTTTTGACTGATCTTCCCACCTGAGGAACTCGGAGCGCTCTGCAGAGCCTGCTGCACTCCCACGAGCAGCTGAAGCACAGCTGCAGGCAGTTGTTTTCTCAAAGCACAGCTTCTCCTCTGCACCCCCGCACACAACTCCACCGAGTATTACTCGGTGCAGAATTTGGCCTGGAGTATTTCCCTTGGCAGGGCTCCCCAGCCAAATTTACCCTGCAAGACATAGCACCAAAGGAAATACCCTCTTTACTTCCTCTGGTGTAGTAAGTACTGCCAGGCTTATACCTTAGCATTGAATAGCCCCAAATTCCCCTCCCTTTACCCCCGGAATCCTCCTTAGGTTGTGGGCGTGGAGGAAAGCTAAATACAATTCAAGCAACAACCTGCTGGCTGTACTTGTCACTGGAAATTCAGTTAATTCCATCCAACAGGATAAGCCACACTCAGGAGAGGTGGGTGGGAGAAAAGCTAGCTTAACACTCTGCTTTTTAAAATCAGCAGTACCAGCTACACTACAAGTGCCTATGCTTTGAATGAATGCTACAGGAAAAGCCCACCAAATGCTGCACAAAATTACACATCACACCCAAAAGCGTGGGCATACATCATCCCACTCCTTCTACTGCTTCTGGCCACAATACACTCATGTCTGAAAAACTGGAAGGAGGCAGAGAGCAGGCTGTAATCCACGCTCAGAACGTGGGGATCAGCTGAAAGCACTGGGAACACACACTGGACCGACTAGAGCAGAGCTACACTGAGTGGCCTGGCACTGCAGATAATGGGTTTTTCCCTGGGAACGGACGCAGCTTCGAGGGACTTTGAAAAAAAAAATAATGGAAGAGGAAGAAAACGTGTCAGGGCAACCATTCAGCTGAGATAAGCTACAAAAGATAAATAACACGACAGTTCCATTTTCTCCATCACTTCAGCACACACTGCCTCTCCAGCCTGGCCCCCGAGCCAGCTGGGATCCAGGGCGCTCCGCAACAGGTCACGGCTCCAAACTCCCGGGGAGGGGCTGTCCCCCTCGGACCCCACATGCCCAGAGGTGTCCCGGGGAGCGGTGGCCGAGCAAGGTGCTGTGAACGCGCATCACCTCACGCACCGCCAGCGCTGCCCTGGGCACCGCACCGCATCGCCCCGCCCGGACCGGCCCCGGCGTGCCCATAATGTGCGGGTGTCCCCGGCGCTGCTGAGCCCTCACCTTTTTCAGGAAGGCCATCCGCGGGCGGTAGCGCTGGCCCTGGTCGAGCCGTGTGACGGTCATGGTGGCGGCGCGGAGCGGAGCGGAGCAGCACGGCCCCGGCCCGCGCACCTGGCTGCGGACACCGCCACACGCCGGGGGCGGCGCCACCGCTGCGCGCCGCAGCCAATCAGCACTCGCTGCCCCGCGCTCATTTGCATGAAGGCGGGGGGCGGCCGCTTGGGGGCGCTCGTGGGAGGGCGCGGAGGGGCTGGGGTGGAATGGAATGGAATGGAATGGAATGGAATGGAATGGAATGGAATGGAATGGAACGGGACGGGACGGGACGGGACGGAATGGGACGGGACGGAATGGGACAGAACGGAACAGAATGAGATGGAATGGAACGGGACAGGACAGGATGGGATGGGATGAAAACGAATGGAATGGAATGGGACGGAATGGGATGGAATGGAGTGGAGTGGAATGGAATGGAGTGAAATGGAATGGGACGGAATGGGATGGAACGGAACAGAATGAGATGGAATGGAACGGGACAGGACGGGATGGGATGGGATGGGATGAAAACGAATGGAATGGAATGGGACAGAATGGGACAAGATGGAATAGAATGGGATGGAATGGAGTGGAGTGGAATGGAATGGAATGGAATGGAATGGAATGGGACGGAATGGAATGGAATGGGACGGAATGGGATGGAATGGGACGGAATGGGACGGAACAGAACAGAATGAGATGGAATGGAACGGGACAGGACAGGATGGGATGGGATGGGATGAAATGGAATGGGACAGAATGGGACAAGATGGAACAGAATGGGATGGGATGGAGTGGAATGGAATGGAGTGAAATGGAATGGAATGCAGTGTCACACAGGGAGCAGTCACACTTCCCACACGTGTGCAGCTGTTTCTCAGGGCAGTGTCTTCCCCACCACGGTGTTTGTGACTGCTCTGGATTTAGGATCTGTGGTTCTCACGCTGGAGGGGAGCAGGCTGGCTCTGAGCTCAGAGCAGAGCTTTTTCCATGAACAGCAATGCCCTGAAGGCACAGGCTGCTTTCCCAGTTGCTTTGCTGCCCTGTGGAAGTGTTTTATCTTTCGCTCTGCTCTTTCATAGCACCCAGACAAGCCAGTGCTGTGGAAGGCCTTTCCCCTGTGTCTGCTCAGCCCTTCCCATGTGGAATTCCCCTGTAAGTCACAGCAGCTGCTAATCAGACACTCTGCTCCATGCAGATGATGAGCAATCTCTGTCATTCCACACTGGTACTCACATTATCCTGCCTCATGCTTCAAGGCATCAGCTGATGGCCAAAGGAGCAGGAGGGGAGCTCCTCATGTTTGCAGTGTCTCATAATTCAGGGTCTGAAGTGCTGCTTTGTTCTGCCAAACTAGTTCAAACTAGTTCAGATCCTGGTGTCCCTCTGAAAGGCCAAGGGTGACAAACTCAGTGGCACAGATGGTCCTGGAGGCAAAAGGGAGGAAAAAGGGAGTTCAGAGGGCAGTTAGGAAGCAAGAGAAAGGACAGCAAAGGCAAGCAGGCATTTTCATGATGCTAGAGAACCTGAGTGCTTCCATCTCTTAGACAGACAGATACTGGCAGGAGTACATGCAAGGAATTCTTTGGGAGATAATATCAGAGTAAGGACCACATAAAAAGATGTAGCTCATTTTCTTGGTTTGATAGGCAAAATAGAAAAACTTGTTATAGTCTGCAATGATTCCTCTGAATCATTTGCAGATTAAAAAGGACTCAGAAATACTCCAGGTGTGGTGCTACCACTGGCCTAAGTAAAGGATCAACTACCAACAACTTCCCATGTCCCACATACTTAAAGGAATAAAAATGGTAATTTCATCCCAAAATGCTGACTTCAACAGTTCCACTGAGGAATATAAGTGTCTTATTCACGAGAAACATTTGAAATCTGGGTCTTCAATTGAGTTCAAAAATAAAATGGTCTTGCAGGAGATCCAGGAAAAATAGCTCTGAGAAGCTCACGCTGAGGTGTGAGCTCTTCAGCCTCACTGAGCTCCAAAGATTCCGATAATTTTAAATCCTTCCGATCCCCCAAACACCCCCTCAGAGGTCAGGTGTGGATTTTTTTCTATTTCTAGTCTTCTCTGACAAGCTATGATGAAGCTTGTGGATATTCCTCTGTTAAAAAGCTACTTAGTGTAAGTTCCACAAGACGTCCAAGGTAAATTCAGCTTCATTAACATCTGTGAGTGACCCACAGCATCAAACACATGGTCGGACACGAGCTGAGATTTCACCTGTGCCCAGGTGAACCACCCCAGCAGTTAATGCTCTTGGCAGATCTGCCACATGAAGCACGAGGCATTTAAATCAGATTATAGAGGCTTGTCTAGGGCAGGCACTCCTGGGCCTCTAATCGTGAAACCCACACTTGTGGAAAGCAAAGAATTCTCCAGTCCTTGACACAGCCTGGCTGGCTGATGTGTGAATTTGTTGGTCAAGAGAACAAGGGACTTGAACAGCAGGAAGAGTGGTGGAGAGCACCAGCAGCAGCCATGCAGGCTCCCTCCAGATTTCTGACTCCCTACGCTCACCCTGGCCTTTCTGCTCCCCAGATAATGCAGAAAGACATTCTCTTAACTGGGGAGGCTCCTTAACCTCCTGTTTTGTGTGGTATTTATGTAGCTGCAAGTTTCCATGGGTGTTCTACCCCACGCAGAGGGTGAATGATGCTGTAGTGGAAATACACTCATCACATCACATCCCATCACATCACAGGGCAATGCTGAGTGTCCAAGGGCTCTCCAGAGCCCACAGATCCCTGCCAGCCTCTCACACAGAGCGTGTCCAGGCTGGGGAAAAGCTGAAAGCTAAATTTTATCTCTCTGGTCTCCTTGTGCAGCCCCACAAGCTGCGATTGCTCTCAACAAACCCGCTCTCAATTCTCCAGAGTTTCTCCTGTGGAAAGCACTGCCAAGGGAATCCCCCCTTGTCTTTAAAAGGTCACATTTCCTACGTGGTTGCCCCTTCTTCACACATCAGAAAGTTGAATCATCCAACACAAAAGGCATGTGGTGAGTAAGCCACCTTTCTATGTAAGGAAGCTGGGGACGCCCTGAGGGGAAGGAAGGGGTAACGTAAGTGAAGCAGGTGGCAAGTGGGGGCTCGGTTTCAGCACGCAGTTCCTTCCAGGAAGATTTCAAAGCAGTTTGCCCAAAAAAGAAAATAAATTGTGTGAGCTGTGGCATAGAGAGAGGCGTGACTTAAGCTCAGCTCTGCCGGCAAGGCAATGGTTAAAGGAATATCTCCAGAGTCCATTGTCCTGCCTGGTGGGGCACAAGCACCGAAAATGAGAAGTTTCCTTAGCAGCCTCATGGGAAGAGCAAAGGGGCAGCACTTGTTTCCCGTCATTCCTGGGCTTTCCAGGAAAGCTAAGGAAAGCAGTGGCAAAGAGGAAGGAAAAAAGCCAAGCAGAGAAAGACCTTGTGCACCCTGCCTTAGAGATGAAGCCTGGCTGCTGGGGTGGGAGGATGCAGCTGGGCTCGCACTGAGCTGGAGGTGCTGAGGCTCTGCAGGGCAGGAACAGCCGCTCCGGCAGGGCAGCACGCCGGGAGCCAGGCTGCTGGCCAGCACACGGGAACGGAGTCTGGAGAGCTCCCCAGGGAAGGGGAGGGCAACAGGGAGGTCAAGGACTCCCCGGCACTTAACTAACCTGATTGTAGAAACTCAGGAGTCCTCTGCAGCTAGGGAGGCGAGATGAGAGTTGAGTGACATATCTTAAAACTTCATTTTAAAACTGAGACCAGAGCTCAGGAATGACTGGCTTCCACATCTGTACCAAGAGAACCAGGATGTGCTCCTTGTAATAATTTTGTACCACATCCTGTTCTCCTATGAGAAATGCATTTTTTTTTTCTTTCTGGTAAGGTCCTGTGAAATAATTCCCATGCAATTTATCTCTGTGTGGGACCAACCAAAGGTGAGAACACTGATGCCCATTTCAGATTTTGAAGGTCCTTCCAGTTGGGGCCAAGTGACATTTCCTTGTTCTAAACTCACCTCACAGTTTTCACATTTATTTCTTCCTTTTTCTAAGTTATGATTAATGTTGGGGGGAAAAGCAGAAAAAATTGAGAGGATAACTCACTAGATATCAAAGACTAAGAGATGTAAGGAGACACAAATGTTTAATGCAATCTTTGCACTACGATGGTGTAACTGATGGTAGTTAAAGTTAATTTATTAAATAAATTACTAAAAGAACAGCTGTGCTTAGGGCTGGGTTGAAGTGTGGCATTTCCAGTCCTTGGGATTTTCAGTCCTTGCAGATCCCTCAGCCTAAGAGTTGTTCTACCCCTCCCATGCAGGGTTACCACTGAAAATAAGCCTTTGCTCCTTCTAACTGAGTATCAGACAAAGAGTCCCACTCTCTTTTGCCCACTGTGCCTCGGGAGAGGTCGGACCCAGCTGTGTGCTCAGCTCGGTGCTGCAGCCCTGCAGTACTGGGAAGCTCTTCTCAGCCAGGCAGAGAGGAAGGACGTGCCGATTTTTCCAAGTGTTTTAACAAAACGACTCTCTTTCTGCAGCGAGAACAAAACCTGCTTAGCTGGCAAGCACCATCCTGCCCCCTGACCGAGAGCTGACCTCCCCGGGCCGCCTGCCCGGCAGCTTCCCTGCAGCCAGGGGAGCCTGGGGCTCGTTTCCATGGAATCCAGATGGGTTAAAGGTGGAAGGGACCTCCTAAGATCATCCAGACCAACCCCCTGCCTCTGCAGGGTCATCCAGGAACAGGTCCAGGTGTGTTTGGGATGTCTCTAGAGAGGGAGACTCCACATTCTCCCTGGGCAGCTGTTCCAAGGCTCTGCCCGCTCCATGGAAAGTTCTTCCTCATGTTGAGGTGGAACTTCTCATGTTTTAGTTTACTGCCATTGCTTCTCATCCTGTCACTGGGCACCCCTGAAGAGTCTGGGATCATCCTCTTGGCATTGGATATATTGGAGATATTTATATGCATTAATGAGATCTCCTCTCAGTCTTCTCTCCTCAACATACCCATGACAAGCCAAGGACAAGGACAGGGACAGGAGTGGCTGTGTCAATTCCTGTGTCCAGTTCTG